CTTTTCACTAAAAAACTAATTACACTCTCTCCGAGGCACCAAGCCCACAAAAATTGGGCTCGTCTTCAGCAGAAACGCCCCCTGCCTGATAGTCAACCGGTCAGTCGTCTTGGCCGTCCTCACCACTTCAAAACGGTCTAGAATCCGCGCCACGCCCAACTTTGTTTCCATCAACGAGAGGCGCATGCCAATGCACTGCCTAGGCCCCGAGCTGAAGGGGAGAAAAGTGTACGGAACAATCTTCTCTCGATTTTCGCCCATAAATCTTTCGGGATCAAACTTCTCCGCCTGGGGCCAGTACTTTTCCGAGGTATGATTGTGGAAAATGTCCAGCATGATGAAGGTTCCTTTCTCGACGACTAAATTATACTCTGGAATCGGGTAATCGACGCCAGCCTCTCTGGGCACCTGAAGGGCGGGACAGTAGAGGCGAAGCGTCTCACTGACCACCGCATCGAGGTAGGGGAGTTTCTGGAGCTCGGTAAAGGTCAACGGCTTCCTAAACTCCTCTTTTGCCGATTTCNTGCCAATGCACTGCCTAGGCCCCGAGCTGAAGGGGAGAAAAGTGTACGGAACAATCTTCTCTCGATTTTCGCCCATAAATCTTTCGGGATCAAACTTCTCCGCCTGGGGCCAGTACTTTTCCGAGGTATGATTGTGGAAAATGTCCAGCATGATGAAGGTTCCTTTCTCGACGACTAAATTATACTCTGGAATCGGGTAATCGACGCCAGCCTCTCTGGGCACCTGAAGGGCGGGACAGTAGAGGCGAAGCGTCTCACTGACCACCGCATCGAGGTAGGGGAGTTTCTGGAGCTCGGTAAAGGTCAACGGCTTCCTAAACTCCTCTTTTGCCTGCTGAAGTTCCTGGAACAGCCTCTGCTGAACTTCCGGATGAAGTGCCAGGAGGTAGAGCAGGTGACTGAGGGTATTCGCAGTGCTTTCATATCCGGCCAGGTAGAAGACCATCGCCTGCGCCTGAACCTCTTCTTCGGTGAGATACTTCGTGCCGATGATCTCCCTGAACTCCCGCTGACTGGCCAGCTCCTCTTCGGAAAGTGTGGCGGTGGAATTCTCAATGGAGTTCACCAGTTCTTTATCCTCTTCAGCCCTCAACATCAACTGCAGCAGATCATGGTGACCATCACCTCGCCCACTCCGCAGCTCCTCCTTCCGCTTCTCAATCATATGCCTGGTGGCCGCCTCGAAGAAGTCGTACTCCTCAATGTTCAATGGCGGGAGCTTATTCTTCACGAGGAACTTCTGGACGAACTTGGGCAGAAGGGACATGGCGATGAAACGGGCGGGTCGAAAGGCGAAAAAGTTTTTGGCGTTGGTGACGAAAGGATTCGAAGAGGTGGAGTTGTGGGCGTTTGTATCGGTGGCGAAGGCGCACTTTGCTATCACGTCAATCGTAAAATTGCCCATGGTGTTTCGAACATCCAAGGAATATTTTCCTTTATCACCAGGACTTCCTTCTACCTCCCGTTCCAAGAAGGTCATCATCGAGCGGACGCAGTCCTCCATCATCGGCTCCATTCGCTTCAGCTTCAGCGGACTGAACATTGGATTGAGGATGCTGCGAATGCGTTTCCAGGCCTCGCCCTTGGCGGCGACCACATTCTGCCCGAAGATTCGATGGCCCGCTGAAGACTCGGGCCGGTTGCGGACCAGCTGAAAGTCGGTGGTGAGGATGCGCTTGATGACCACTGGGTCGGCAATCAGGAGGACGGGCTTTTTGCCAAAGTAGGTTCTAGAATTAAAAAATAGGTAAAATTTTGTACAAAAAAAAGGTTTTTTAAAAGTCTTACCCGACGACATTGCCGTACTTGGTAAAGTACCGCCGGTAGAGGAGAGGCGAGGGGACCCAAGCCTTGTAGAAGTTCCCCAGATAAGGCAGTGCAGGAGGGCCGGGAACGCCCCTCTTGGACCAGTAATCGAAGCCTCGAGTGCCACGCCTGAATTTTTAACAAAAAAAAACTGATTAAAACTTTTTTATTAAAAAAAAGTAAAAGCTTACCAGTAAAAGTAGACCGCAGCGACCAGGCCAATTACCAGCCAGTAGCGGAGAAGAAGGGTAATCACTTCTTCAAGAAGTGATTGCCACATTTTTGCAAATAAAAACTCCTCAAAAATCATCAACGAAAAACCTTTTTGCAGCTCAAGAGCAAACTCCTTTTTTTATAAGATCGCAAAAAGTGGTGACACATTAAAATAGACTCAATCAAAAAAACTTCGTTGATAACTACAACACTCTTATCAATATCTCGTTCTCAGAGAACAGCAAGTGAACTATTAAACAGCAAAAGTACAAGACATCTTCTGATAGCCTAAAACACAACACAGAAAAGATGTCGTACACTTTATGACACACTAAACACCGTACAGTGTTTGCCACAATAGCGTTTTTTACGATATCAATCTCCTGATAAAAAAATGAAAACGAAAAAATCTTCAAACCATTTGCTGAAGGTCAATTTCTGATAAGAAAAAGAAAAGACAAAGCTAAATTAGAAAGGGGAATTTTGAACAAAAAAAAGTAAAACCTCATATCTCAACAATAAAGTTCACTTGAGCCTAAAAAAGCCACTCAAAACAAAATCCAAATAACTTTACATACTTTAAAAACTCCCATCCAAAAAAACCTTTCCATGCCCGTTCCCACGCCGGGAACCCTAATTCCTCCGCAACCCTCGCTGACGCCCTTTCCCGACCCCCACTTCAGCGATGACCCCGACTTTCACACGGTGGTCACCCTTTGGACGTCCACCCTG